GAGCTTAATTTCTTTCCAGTAGCATCCTCTGTTCTCTAGTACACAATAAAACAACTATTCTTCTTCTAATGTATTCTGTGCAGTGCAGTGCCTTAGTAGAATATCTGTTCAAATAAATGAGGTGTCTCTGCTTCGTTTGTGACACTTAAGAAAGACAATTGGATAATATAATCGTGTAAAATGTTTCCATTCGGTGCTTATAAAGCCCTAGGAGCTGGGACTCCAGTAAAGGGTAATGCTGACCAAAGCAGTCAGAACTACGTCAGGTTTTGCTAATTTAGTGAATTATGAAAAAAAGTTGGAGAGCATTATAGCACTGTAATTCTGTCAATAGCACAACAGGAAGGTAGTAACTGGATGGAAGGCTGCTAAAGGTAACACATACATATCATGCATTTTTGATAGTTTTCCTTACAGCATGGTTCCTTCCTGAGAGCTGGTCCATTGATTTCCTTCAGCGTAGGATTAAACTCTTGATTGTTACTGGGAATAGTATTACATTACGGATGGGCTCTTCTGCACAGTGGAGAATATAGTGGCATGAATAGACATGAGTAAAAATCAGGTTTTGGGTAATTAATGTGGAAAACCAAAGGGACCAGACAGCAAGACTGAAAAGAGTAAAATTCAAATATTAAGAACCTATGGAATCTTAGCAGTGCTGAAGGTTTGGTAAAATGAAAAGAATGAGTAAATAGTCAGTTCTGAGTAAATAGTCAGTTAATAAACTGAAGAGAAGTGGGTTATCTGCATCTTGCAACCACAGTAAAATACTTTAGTTCTAACAAAAAATAGGGACAATACCACAGAGACGTAAACCATACAAAATACAAAGAGACATAAAACATAAGAGCATCAAAAGAAATGGGTAAGGAGCTCTCTGAACCTGACCTGTTCATTTTTAATGATCTTCTAAGACAATTTTCAGGCAACTGGAAGAGAGACGGTGTAGCTATCTTTCAAAGGCAAATAGGACTTGGGGGAACTCCAGGGGTGTTACCTTTCATATACTAACTGCTAAATCATGGGGCAGATGAAGGGAACACGAATAGTAAATGGCAGATTACACTTTATCTGGTGCCACTTTACACAAGTTTGATTTTAGTTATAATTGCAAGGTTGGTTAATGTGGTGGATTGACCCTGGCAGACATTAAGTGCCCACCCAGTTGCTTGCTTGCTTCTCCCAGTGGGATGGGGGAGAGATTTGGAAGAGCAAAAGCGAGAAAACTCATGGGTTGAGATAAAGACAGTTTAATAGGTGAAGCGAAGCTGCATGTGCAAGCAAAGCAAAATAAGGAATTTATCCACTACTTCCCATCAGCAGGCAGATGTTTAGCCATTTCCTGGGAAGCAGGGCCTCAGCATGCATAATGGTTACTTGGGAAGACAAACACCATAATCACAAACATCTTGCTTTCCTCCTCCATTGCCCAAGTTCTTATTGTGGAGCAGGACATTATATGGTATAGAATATCTCTGGTCAGTTGAGGTCAGCTGTCATGGCTGTGTCCCCTCCCACCTTCTTGTGCACCCCCAGGCTACTCTCTGGGGGTGGGAAAGAAATACTTTGATGTTGTGCACACACTGCTCAGCAATAGCCAAAACACTGATGTGTTATCAACACTGTTTCAGTCACAAATCCAGAACACGGCACCATATAGGCTGCTATCAAGAACCAGACCCAGTTGATTGTAATGTTTTTAAATATACTCCCACAAGATATTTTACTAAAAGAAAAAACAGTATTACCCCAAAATCCATCATAGCCCTATAACACCTTGAAGACAGGTAAATCATTGCAAGTCATTGTATATTCAGCTCATCAGAAGACAGTCTTTCCAAGAAGGCCAGCAGATCAAACACCGTTCATTACCGGTAATATAGAAAACCGGCTATCTTCCCCAAAATAGTAGGTAATAGTGGCAGTAGTTACATGGATTATCCTAAATACTCACTAAGGTGCCACACTTGGCAGGGATTTGTATCTCTATCCAGGCAAAGGATGATAAAATGTGTATTCTGTGACCTGTGTCATGTTGTGATGCTGTCCTGGAATGCTGAAATGCCAGGAAGGATTCAGGGAATTGTGACAGATAATTAATTGAATATGAGCTCAGCATGCGCTCTTCTGGCTTAAAGGATGAACATGCTCTTTGAAAGCATAAGCAAGGAACTAACAGGCAGAAACAGCAGGGCACGTTAACTCCTTGTTGCATATCTGATGCTTGTAAGATAGTGAGTGTAAAAGGGAGTTCTGAGGCAGACACTTAAAAAAAAGATAACCACTGTGACGGAAAGATAAAAAGGCTACAGAAATCTGCCTTTGTGAGTTTACTCACAAAGATCCAATTACAGTTAACTTTGCTATCAAGAGGAATTGGGAGGCTGATAGAACTTGAGTAAAGGAGAACACTCTTTGCAATTTGCTTCTGCCTTCAAAACAGCTCACAGAGTGTGAGGTGTAATTTTTCTGTATCACACTCCCCCGAGTTTCTGTTTCGTAGGGGCTTCTTGGGAGAACGGAACCAGAGGCCCTGGGGAGCATCTGCAGGGATACTGCAGCCAGACCTGCGCAGGACCTGTTGGAGGTGACAGGGTTTGTTAGTTCAGACCAAATGCCATGTTAGTGTAACACACTGCTCCCAGACCTGAGCTGGCTCCTGAAGCTACAGTGCGCTGCCCCTCAGCTAAAACGCCCAGCCTGCTCCTTACTCTCAGCTCAGACAAGCTGACTGAATCACAGAGAGCAGATTTTGACTTCTTTGGTTAAGAAGAATAATCTCCGGAAAGGATTTTTGATGTCTGATGAAGCTTAATCTGGCAGAAAAAAGGCAGCATAATATCCAATATATCAAAGGCCAAACTGGACAAATGTGGAGCAGAGAGGAAACCTCTGGTTTTGACATGGAGAATAACTGGCAGCAAATGTACATGAAGAACCCTAGGATGCTCCCTTCAACTGGAAGCCAAAATAGTAACATAAACAGGCATTTGGCCACAGAAGATATTCGTGATGGGTTTTCTGGGTTGTGCCACCCAGAAGGTTAAACTGGATAATACAGCCAAACCCCTTCAGCACTAAAATTCATAAAGTTTTCTGTCAGAGTGTAAAATCAGTTCTACCCATTCCTGATTATTGAAGCTCCTGCAGCATCTTCCTAAGGAAGATGTCTAATCTGAGATCTCAGGCAAGTGAGTTTTCTTTTGCATAATATATACTATAGTGGTCCTGGTTAAAGATCTTTGTCTCAGGACCATAATGAATTCTTAAATGTTGAATAGGCTGTCCACTGATCTCAACAGGAATGATTTTTACATAAAACCAAGATCCCTTCCTCTTTTGCCATATGCTTTCCTAAGCAGAAGTGCAGTTCATTATGCAGCACAGGATAAAAGATGCTGTTCAATATGATACTATTATTACCTGTGCTAGTTAAAGATTTCAATTTCCTATTTAGATGCAAATAGAGAATAAAGCATAAGAAGGGCAAAGCTTTCTGACATTACTGTGCCACAGAAGAAGAAAAGGTACAAACCTGTGTGTTGGTTTCTTAAATGATGGCAGGGGGATCAGTTTCCAACAGTTGCCAGTTCTCTTCCAGTGCTATCAAAAGGTTCAGTTTGGGATTAAGAGTTCAGGGTCCAATCATAAAAATAGGGAAGACATTAAGTAGGTTTTAGCGCATCCCAGAAGGGAATAGTTTAACACTTTCAATTAATGCAAAATACACCAGAACAATATTGTTACTAGCCTCTCATTAAGTAAACAGCCACTGGCAACTGCTGAAAAAGAGTATAATTTCTGATCACCCTAAAATATGCTGAGTAAATTTTACAAATTTTGGTCTTGTTAACAACAGTTCAGTGTCAGGAGTTCATACTGAATCACAATAATGATAAAATAATCCTGTTATACTTTCACCTTCGTTACACCCTGAATCATACATTGACCTTCCTTTAAACACATCTACCATGCCCTAGGCTTGGTTTGTACTATATGATAAAAATGATGAAAATAATTGTGGTCAATTGAGTTGACCTACAGAGGTTTTTACTGTTTTAAATATGCATAGCTGAGATTTAAATTGGTGCAACAAGGGTTCAGGATTTTGCCTGTAAACTTGAACTGACAGGCAGTAAATTGATCAGAAAAAGTAGCATAAACCAGAAGGAGTCTGAGGTGCTGAAAATTTTTTTTGGGGGTAATATGGTCATTTCATTCTGTTAATAATTCTGGTCAAGGCATCTTCTGAACAAACAAAAATATTGGCACTAAAAGGTATTAGAATGATAATTCTGAAGACTTGTCCGCATAGCATTAACAAAACAATTGCAAAGAGCTTTGCCTGGCTTGGTTTTTGCTTTTTCTGTTTCTGTAATTACATATAATTAATATAAAGTTAGCTCAGCTTAAAGCAGTGCAGAGTTAAAGATGACATGTTCTATGATGCTGTGGCCTAAATACAGGTATCTTTAAATTGGGCTGTTTCTCATTATTTGAACCTAGTTCTCAATCTTCCTCCTGTCTTACCTCCACATGATTAACAAGGAAATCAAAATGTTTCTGGAAGAAGACATTTGGCTAGGGTACGCCGGCTACCTCTGGAACATTCTCTCAACTCTTTGCTTATCCAAGGACACAAAAGCTCATGAAACATGAGAGAAAGGTTAGAGCAGTACCTCTGGAATAACATTTCTTGTTCTTTAGAGAAGTCTGATGGCTAGCAAAAGAATTTTTGAAGATTTATGGCTCTTAATCTTGAATCTTTTGTAATTGTAGTAAGGTGCTTTTCCTTCTTAACCATCAAAAAGTGGAGTGAGATGGGCTTTTCTGTATCTTGTTATACACTGGCTTTATTAGAATTTATTCTCTGCATGAAGGACTGTAATAGAAGTAAAAATTTGATTTCTAGATGCTCTACTTCATAATGAAATGGATTTAAATATAATAGAAAAACACAGAGAATAAAATTAATGTAAGGAACCTGCCAATCGACTTTACTGAAGTTGGACGCTATGTTTATTTGTCTTGACCCTGTTCTCCACTGAAACCGGTCTCCGTTGTCCATCCAGTGAGACTGGACGTCTCAGCTTTGTTCCACTGAAGACCTTTGAAAAATAAATTGCAAAATTTCAAGAACTTTTCAGGTCAACAGACCACTTTGATAGCATTTTGTAACTGGACAGGCAAAAATTGATTTGTTGTGCATGTAGCTCACAGAAAAAGTCTGATCTCATTTTATTGTCAATCCACTTCAGTGCCATTGGCTTCAGTTTAGTTGCTCCTCGCTTGCCAAGGCACAAGACTCCCTGTATTTTATTTTCTTCTTCTGGAAGAAAACAAAACATAGATTTCCAAGGCGCATTAATGGTCAGAAGAATAGCATATGTGCCAATTATTTGAACAGTATACTCCTGAGTTTTCTGAGATATTCTGTAATGCTGCATGCACAAACGTTAAGTCATGTATATTTGAATGCAGAGTGCCTTATTCATCCCACCTAACTAACCATCCAGACGTTAGGAGTCTCATCTGGGCTAGTTCTCTAGGTATCCCCTATAGAGCGAGATCAGCACCTCTGCTAGGCTTGATTCTTTCCATCCTATGATAGGTGGGATAGACGAGGCTGTGGACATTCTGGTCTTTTTCAATAGAAGGAACAACCTAGGAAGCCTTGCTAGACAGCTTGCAATAAATCAAATCAATAGTACCCATAAAGCAGTATTAACTTACAATAACCAAAGCTTTATGTAGATAAGAATCAATAGTTTCTGGGCTACCTAGAAGAGTCAAGTCTCAGCAAAATGTTAATGACATGAGGTTGAACAGGAGAAGTAAATGTCTAGAATACTCACTTTGTGGCACACTCTCTTCAACTGGCTTCCCAATCTTCCACCAGATGGAGAATGGAGTTGCATAGGTAGTAATGCAAACCATGTTAGAAAATTAAATCAAGAAGCAGGCAGTTACAGAATCAGAGAATCACACAGAATGGTTAGGGTTGGAAGGGACCTCTGGAGATCATCTAGTCCAACACCCAACAACAGAATGCCAGAGTACATGACTGTAATAATTTACTAGAGCTAATGGCTTCTGCTGTATGAATGCCACTGCAATAGATAGAAAAGAAAACATTTGTGCTTACCTTATATATAGGAAGAAACCCAAATACTGCATCAGCGTCTCTGTTTCCAGACTCAAAACTTTCCAAAGGTTGTCTATGGATCTGACCAAGGGAAGCCAAAGTCAGTGCATTACTAGCTGAAGACAAAAGGTAATGAAGACATTACTTCTGTTATTGAATTGCATGGTAAATCTGAAGAAAGGTTTATCATTACTATGCAGAGATATTATGGTTTATACGCAGGTTTTCTTTGTATCATGTAAAGGCTGCCTTGAACTTTTTTTAAAATTAGGAGGGGATCATTCTTCCGCTGTAGAAAATGCATAACCAGCAAAATTCCAGCTTCCCAAGGGACACAAAATCAGGACAGTTAACAGCAACATGCTTTTTATCATCTAAGTTAACACTAGTTTTAAACACTTGCTTAGTTCTCTCACCTCTTAACACCTTCGATAAGCTCAATAAAGGAGTAATTTTCAGGGTCCATGTCAGGTTTGGTGGATGCATACTATCAGAGGACAGTGGAAGTCTAGCCAAGGGGTAATGGAGTAAGAACTCCCTCCCAGACTACAGCTTCATCACAGGACTGTTAGTCTGGCTATTCTTCTGTTGGGCTATGCAAATCACAAACACTTCAGCAGCCAGTTGGGAAAGATGCAGATGAACAAAAAGACACTTCTGCTGTTGAAAGCTTTGAATTTGTGAAAATACCTCAGGTACTTGGCAGTTCATCCACACTCACATGAATTCTGAGACTTACCTAGGTATTATACTTATGCACAGGGCAGGAACTGAAACTGTGTTTACATGATATAGCCATGATTTCACCCGAGGAGGCCAATATATGGTCCTCCAAAAAGGAAAAAAAAGGGCACCTACAGCTTGAAATACTGCAAAGAGCTCGTTTCCATCAAATTTGAAAACGTGAGTTTAATTTGAAATTATTGTACAGAGATTTTCTACTTACATTTTTTCATGATCTTATTAATACATTAGTGAGTGTTCTGCAGTAGTAACAGCTGAAGAGATACCACATCTTTAACAATGTAAAACATTCCTAAGACAATGTGTTCCAGTGTCTGTCTGTCAATTCTAAGCATTACTTATGTGCATTGAGTACTAGACATTACCCATTTCAGAAAGACAGGACAACTGAATTACAGTAAACTAACCATATACTCTAGGAATTTGCAGAGCCACTGAATAGCACCCTTTTCTCATCAAACGCTCAATCAGAAGGGGACTCCAGTGCTAACATGTATCAAATATCTTCTGCTATGAGACCTCCACTGAGTCATGGAATCACGGAATTTTCAGAGTTGGAAGGGACCTCTAGAGATCATCTAGTCCAACTCCCCTGCTAAAGCAGGATTGCCTAGAGCACATTACTCAGGACTGCATCCAGGTGGGTCTTGAAAATCTCCAGAGAAGGGGACTTCACAACCTCCCTGGGCAGCCTGTGCCAGTGCTCTGTCACCCTAACTGTAAAGAAGTTCTTCCCATGTATTTGAACAGAACTTCCTATGTTCCAACTTGTGCCCATTGCCCCTCGTCCTGTCACTGGGAACCACTGAAAAGAGTCTGGCTCCATCCTCCTTCAACCCACCCTTTAGATATTTGTAGGCCATAATAAAGTCTCCCCTCAGCCTTCTCTTCTCCAGGCTAAAGAGTCCCAGCTCTCTCAGCCTTTCCTCATAAGGAAGATGCTCCAATCCCTCAATCATCTTGGTTGCCCTACGCTGGACTCGCTCCAGCAGTTCCCTGTCCCTCTTGAACTGGGGAGCCCAGAACTGGACACAGTATTCCAGTTGTGGCCTCACCAGTGCAGGGTAGAGGGGGAGAATGACCTCCCTCGACCTACTGGTCACACTCTTCCCTATGCAGCCCAAGATTCCATTGGCCTTTTTGGCAACAAGGGCACATTGCTGGCTCATGGATAATTTAATGTCTATGAGGACCCGCAGATCCTTCTCCTCAGAACTACTTCCCAGCAGGTCCACCCCTAACCTATACTGGTGCCTAGCATTCTTCCTCCCCAGGTGCAGGATCTTGCACTTGCTCTTGTTGAACCTTATTAGGTTGAAATACTAGGTTGAGTCCTCAAAGCAAAGCCCACCGCTACTGACTTGTCCCACAAGGTACTCAACCACTGACTTTGCTACAGTAAATGTCATGTTTTATGCCCAGCATCAACATATTTTTCCCACTAACAGTGTTCTCTCTTATTACACAGTGCTGTATCTACAGCTGTTGAACAGCAGGGGACCAATGATCAACTGCCGTTACTTTGTAGTGTATGCTCCTATGGTACAAAAGCAGCTACGTGAGTTTCCCTGTGATTTAAACACAGGGTGCTCTAGAGACTGCAGCATCTGTCACTAGTATAACCGTGATTTATGAGAGCTTGTTTACTTGTTGCTGCCTTGGGGTGATATTACAGAATGCCTCAAAACTGCACGCTCGACTACCTTTGCTTAGCAGCAGGTAATCCACTAGCTTCAAATAATCAAGCATCCAGACAAGATGAGAGCTGGTCTGGGTATCTTTGGTGTCCCAGTAAGTGAGGACAAGTGAGAAGAGAACTGGCTGGCAAGTCAGGGCAATAAACAGTACAGAAGTGTGTTCCGCTCACCTTGTCATCCTTTCACCCAAGGTACATTAGAAAAATAGCTGGTCACAGGGAGTAATGTTGTCTTTTACTGACTACTGTTTAGACTTTAGCTGGCTGTGTTAGGATAACAGATTGTAGTATATAAGCGACTCATGGTACCACAAATGTTAGAAGAGGATGTTAAGAATTCATACCCTTCAGCAGGTGTTGGCCACTACCCTTTGGAGACAAATAGTCAGAAAGGTGTTAATGGAAGCTTTTTTTGTTATGTGGTCATTGGATTTGTATCTTTTTCCATTTTCCCAATGCAACAAAAAATTTCATGCATTCCCAGACTTTTAGCGGCTAAGCCAGGTAACGATAGAGGAGCTCCACCATTATTCAGTTAGAGTTGTAGAAAGTATTCATAATGATAATCTAAATTCAGTCAGAGCTCCTGTTTTCTGATTTCTGAAGCCTGAAAGAAATGTTTTGTATAACCAGGGATTCACTGTTCTAGTATTTTCACACTTCCTTCAAGTAAACTACAGGATTTCTGTTGGTTCTGTTGGTTCATGGGGTTTTTAATGCTGCCAAAGCAAACAAGTGAATTAGTGTGTGCTTCTTTCTAAACTGGAATTTGGAAATGTGAAAGAATGAGAACAAAACCCAGAGAGGTTTCTTTGATCCTTCTGTTTATGCATTTTTTTGTTCTAGCTTGTCCATTGAATGAGAAGGATATGCAGGGTTATTTATGGCTATTTTCTAAATGAGAAATACAATTGCATTTCCTATATGTTGCACAGAACAGAAACGAATTTGTCCTATATAGTAGCTACCTTTGGAGAAGCCAGAGCTTTGAAAAACTTCAAGTCCTGAATTGTGTCCACATGTTTATGCTTTTTTAAAACTGAAGGTGATCTGATCAGTGACTTCCATCTGTACACAAAAGACAGAAAAATGTAATACTGTTATTAAAATGGCAATTTTGAATGTAACATTCTTAGATGGCTCTAGAATAAAGTTATTTTGAAGTATAATTATTCCATATACCTTCAAAATAGAATTTCTATTAGGACCTTCATAGGTGTCATGAAGTACTTCACTAACACTTTGTCAGCCTAGATACTGGCTTGCCATCTTTAGGAAGCTGGAAATATTAATATAAAAAAAAAACCCACTAGTTACCACAACTGGGGGCTAACTCTCTGATAATGGCTTTTCAGCATTTCTGTCAGTTCTGGCTACAATTCCTGTGTGCCACTTTCATAACAAAGAAGGTTTCCTCTGGTCATATATCTGGTTTCCAAAGTTAATCACAAGAAGAAATGATCTAGAGTAGAGTGTCTGTTAGTGCAGATTAGCACAATTTCATTTATAATCAGAAAAATTAAGTCAGAGCACAAAAGCTAAGGAATTATTATAAACTACAAAGAGAAACTGAGACCATTTTTCTATATGGGTCTGTCTACCTGTTGACATTTTTCAATAGATCACGTGAGCCACTTGTTTAAACTGTAAACACCTATGCTATTCAGCTGGCTTGATTTGTTAAATGCAATTTTAAAATATTATCGTAGTCACTTCTATGACAGCTATCCAACATGAAAATTGTAATAGCATCGTGAAGATAATTGATTTGACACAAGAGAAGCTCCTATATCCTGTCAACAACAAAGCCTATCACTCGTAAGTAACAACGCCTTTTGGAGGATGGTTTACTAGCTATCCATTACACTATTTGGTACAATTAATCCAGAGGAATCAAGTTACTCTTAAGGTGAGAGCACACAGACTATATAGAATGATAAGACCGAAGCTTTCTATTGTGCAGCGTGTGGCTGCCTTTTTTTTTTTAAAATTCTCTGCACAGTTAAGCAGGCTTCTCATTTGTTTGCTGTCTGTTTAATTAATGTGTTTGAAATGTATGCTAGCCATTCTTTCTTTAAGGTTAGCTGGCTTAATTATAATATCTTTGATTCCAGAGGTTTCAAACTAGTTGCTGACTATTCAAAAGGACTACAGGGGTTAGTCCTTCAAACACAGCCAAGCACTTATCTTTATTGATGAGTTACTGTTCTGACTTCAGTGGGACTGTTCACATGAGTAAAAAGTCTATGTAATAATAAGCGTTAGCAGGATACTGACCAAAATGGGGTAACAGTAAAGCACCCTAGAGATTTCCCATTGTCCCAAAGAGCTTAGGTTAAAATAAAAGGCAGACTAAAAATGCACATGGTATATGAAACCTTATCACTAAAGTACACATGGCTTTTTAATCCCTGAAATAATTTTTCCCAGATTTGGACTGCTTTGTTACTAAAGGCAATGTGCATGTTGCCTCTGAAGATTCCTGCCTCAGTATTTATGTTCATTTGGTCAACCCACTAATTAATAAACCAGGGAACTCCAGGACTGGGAATATGACTTAAGCTAGAGGGCCAAGGCTCTCTGGCTTGGCTTGTAACTAACCAACATCTCTTGAGAACTCTACGTAGAAGAGAGGTCCAACACTGCTATTGAACACACAACATTTATGCCAGTGTCAGAATGTCATGATCAGAGATATGTGAATGTATCTACAATATACCAGCAAATTTAAAGCGACCATTTTTTAAACTGAAATATTAAACTGGGTTTAATCTTACAGAAAGGTTTGGGTTTGGGTTGAAACTATTCACATTAAGCTTTTTCAATAATTTTTTATTTGATCCCAGAAGTATATCAGCTTCTGGAACTGGAAGGGAAACAGACTGCTAACCTGAACAATGTACATAACATACAGACTCTAGTTAGGCTAAAATCTGAGACAATTATCTAGTCATCACTATTGCTGAATTCAAATCCAGAACATCACCTAATCCTGACTGTCACCTAGTCATAACTAAAGATATTTATATATAAATATCAATTTATATCAACATCAATAAATATCAAAGATATTTATATATAAATATCATACCATAACAAAAGATATTTATCCATGCTGTGTAAAAATATTTTTAAAAAGGATTTTTCTAAATAACTCATAGGAAATACTAATATTTTTTTCTGACCTCCAGGTGAAAGGTGCATCTTAAGTATATTTTCAGAACGGTTTCCCTAATCATACATGTATGTAAATGTATGAGATCTTACTTGTCCCTGTCCAGCATCAGAGGATATTCAAACTTCTTTGTCTTTTCCATATGCTTGCTTTCCTCTTTAATTATAGTAGGAAAGTTATTAACATCACAAGGCAAAATCAACCGACTGATATCTGATAATTCAAACTTCCTGGGTTGTCCCAAGTAACCAAGATAGTATCCGTTCATGGCATGCCAGAGCCTACAGACAAAGTAGAAGCAGTGCCGAAGGACAGAAAGGAAAAATGGATACTTTTAGAAGTGAAACAAAAGTGACAAAATATCTGTAGTCAAGTTTGGCAGCACTATTCTAGAGTTCAGGATGCTAGTCATAAAAAAAGTCAATGAGACTGAAGTTTGCTGTTTATAATGTAAGTAACTTGAGAGTTAAAAAATCTTAGAAGGATGTTGTAAAAATCAGAAAACAAACATTTCATCTGTATAATTATGAAACTGAGGAGTAAAGGCACCAATATCCTGAATTGCTCCTACAGTAAGGTGCTGCTACCAAAGCAGAATCTACACAAAATTTCCTCATTGATGCCCCCAAAACCCCAAAAGAAACCCCTTCAAATGTACTTGTTAGCCAAGAAGAAATTACAGTTGTCTATAAAGCATCTTCAGACTGCAATGGTTTGATTGCATAAGCATTGGTTAGATGCCATGCTTAGGACCCATGTCAATTTAACAAGTATTGAAAGCTAAAACAGAATTAGAACAGGAGGTAATTTCTAAAATAATGGGGCCATTACCTATGCACTCAAGGTCACCTTGCTGAAAGAAAATGACTGCAAAAGGTCTGACTTCCTGAGAAAACTGGAACATTAAAACTTGGAACATTAAAAAATTCGTTCTTTCAGGTGCGGAACAGAAAATGCACCTAATGTTGTGTTTTATTTAAGTTCTAAGTCCAGCAAGAAGAGGAACTTTGGAGATAGTTCAACTGATTTGCCATAGCACTAAGAAGTATTAGACATTTTTGTACCTGACTGAACCATCAATAGATGCTGTCACTACCACATTTTTCTCCTCTTCATGAAATAAGTCAACCACTTCAGTAGAGTGTGCCCTCCAGCAGAGCTCCTCCTTTATTTGCTGAGGGAAAAAAGCAACATAACCACATTTCAGGCAGTTCTGTATGCCACCATGGTTGCTAGCATAGTGGATTTATCAGCATGGTTTTCTGAAAATTATGAGGTGAAAAAGTAATCCCTCCATGAAACAGCCTGCAAATGGCATATGCTAGAAACACCACTCAGAGGACATGGATAAATTCATTTTAATATAGCCTTTTCGAACACAATGGAATAATGCTAACAGCATTTTACTTATGTTTTTCTTGTTTTTCACAGTGTCGAGTTATTATTTCAAACAAAAGATGTGACCTTTATGTACACGGAACGTTTTTAGTCCCTGTAGAGCTCTGAATCCATTTTTCTCTGTCTTATCTTGGTATACTGTTCAAGTTAAGAAAATCTGTCAGATTTTTCCTTACATTTTTACTATTTTGTGGATCTTCTAAGAATGAGTCAATGCTCCAACGCATTATATGTCCCTCTGTTTCAAAAAGGAAAAAGCAAAACATCAATAAATTTTGTTAGTGCTTCACATTCACTATTTGCTACCACATGCTCTTGGTAAACACGGCGCAGAATGAAGCAAAGATTACAGGTCAGTGAAAGTTGTTTTAAGACAAATGTCACTACCTCATTGTCAAGCACAAAGCAGAAAATAATGGACAATTCATTAATATGCAAAGAAATATATGTATACTCTTTGTGAGCACTTTGTCATTAACTGCATAGGTTTGAAATGTAAAGAGTGTAAAATTTTTTCTTTAAACGACATGAGAAAAAATAAGAATCATCTTCTCAAGACAGTTATCTATTGCACAAAGTAGGTATGAGAGCTTCCTGGGGATGAAACTGTTTTTCAGTCCTGGTAAAATGGACAAAGTTTGATTAATTGTATACATAATGAAAGCTTAATGTTTTACACCCTTTTAGCGCACTCATGTGAAACTAGAATCAAAGAACCATTTTCCTGAGGACCCACGGCTGTTCAGTTTCCTGCCGAGGCTCCCTCTTCCCTGCTGAAGTTGCCCCTTATCTCTCATTTCTGCTACTGGACAGAAGAATTTTTTGTGCAATTCCAACATTCATACTAGTCATATCTGGTTTCTATGACTGTGCATTTGCAAGCAAGCAAAGAGGATCACAGAGAAGTTGACCTTTTTCTAACAAGGGAAAATCTGTAATGAGAACAAGAAATTGGTAGTAGCACTGCGGATAGAATGGTGAGGAAAGCATGAAAAGCAAATACACATTGGCACAAACACAAAAGGACAAAGGGAGAGTATCAGATGAACAGGTAATAGGGTGGATACTTTTCCACAACTAATTAAAATCCTGTTTAGTGCATGCTGCCTTCCTGAACTTATTTACTGATTTTAATCAATGAGGAGTGGAAAGTCCTCTTCATTTGCAGCATTAACGTCAAGCTACTGCTCAGTTTTGAAACAAATGGGAAAAAAACCCTTGCTCCATCCAACTTCTGACAGCATAAGAGCAGGAAGCTGGCAGGAAACAATTCTACTAGGTACTTTAGAAGAAAAGTGACACATTAAAGAACAAAAATCTCATATGACAGATGCAGAAGAAGAAAATTGCCAAAGTGATTCTAAAGGTTTGGAGGAGAATCACACAAAAGATAAACTCTTGGACTTTCTGCCAAATGAAAGCCAGATTTGGTGTAAAATTAACAATCTAACAATGAGCTGCTAGCACAGACCACAAGTGCGTTCTTTCCGTATACAGCAGCGTACTGCTGAAGCCATTACTGTGCACTCCATATCAGTGTCTGAATCATGGCTCTTGATACAGAGCAGCTGCAGTTTTTTATTTTGTTTTATTACCGTGGATGTGAAATTTTTGCTCGTTCTTAGCAATAACCTTTGCCCTTGGTATTAATACAGTAATTCAGATGAAAAGTATATGCTGAGCTTGTGAATTAAGAAAATTGTACTATCTTTTATGAAAACAATTCTACTGATAATGCTATTAATGTAATGTTAAGCTTTAATCTACCATCCTTTCATACCAGCAAATTCCTTTTCCAATTATTTAATTATAGGTTTGATGGAGAAAGTCTGTCAGCATTTGGACCTTCATTTCCACGTTTCTGGCACATTTACAGCATGATTTTTTGTGGTCCTACAACTGTCCCAAACAGAATGACTAACGTGTTTACTCACCCTTACTGCCTGCCAAAAGCATCTTAGTGGAGATGTCTGTACATAGTGCTGTCAGAGGAACTGAAGGGTATTTTGAAAATGGCAAAAGTTCTTTCACTAATTTTCCCTAAAATAAATAAATAAACAAACACATATTTCTCTTTATAATATCTACATAAAAAAAATAAAATCAGTGCCTCAGAAGTTGGGTGCCATTGATTTGATCTATTCAGCATTACTCAGCTCATATCTATTCAGAAGGCAGCTAAAAAAGTATTTTCCTAATCTACTGAAATAGCTGGGATGTATTGTTCCTCTAGACTGCCATCTCTTCCTCATCAAAAGAACAAGCTATTTCACTCTTCAAGCAATTCACAGTACCTACTCCTACCTTACCACTTATCTCTCATTTGCTGTGGAATACCATCAGCATACATCTCATTTGCTACCAAAATGTCTTTTCTCGCTGCAGATGGACCCACGATATCTCCTTCACCAACCTGTTCTATTTGTCAAGCCAGCATAAGTAGACTTTCTCCCTTACTGTCTCTTCAAGTTTGGGAGGAGGTGAGGGAGAAAGTCTTGCAGATAAGGAGAATCTCGACTGTATCATCCATGTAATGATGATGACAATCATGTCAGTGATGACATCACCATCATCTGAACTTGAGGATTCCTAAAGGAATCTAAGCACACTAATGTATCAGCTGTGAAGACAACAAAACCCAACAAAGTCCACACCTACTATACCTGAGGACTTTTACTATTGCATTCTATTTTTTGCATAAAACATCTGCAAAGCTACCGTACCATGTTTCTGAAAAATTTTCCCTGTGACTTGCCTTTGCCGGGATTCTGCTAAAGCCTTATATGGTTGATGTATTGTGATCACTGTCTGCCACAATGACCAATATTACCTGACCATATCATGGTACTCCCCTTTCTTTCTGTACTTACTTTTTATCTCTTGTTTAGAGTAACATGTTTTCTGGAATAGAGTCTCATAGGTCTGAGGTGATATGACAACTAAGCCATTGGCATTCTGTTGCGTGATTGGCTTTACAAGCTGATTATAGCTGTAGACGCTATGTTTTAGGATACTATTCTCTCCTAATTTGTAAACCTACTAGTGCTAGCTGGCTTGTGCAATGTTCCAGGCAGATTTCTTCTCTTCTAAGAGTAGAACACTCTGCCTTGCCTATCATCCTTTCTTAGAAGGTAAATGATGTGAGTGAAAAACCAACTTCTAGACTTCCATATAACTTTACAGTCAGTTTTTGTTAATAATTATTTCAAATCATGTTTCTTCATTTTCCACTTGCCATTACTCTCTGCTACAATTATTAAAGCAGAACTAATTTGTGTCCATGGAAGAAACTATTAAACAAGAAATGCGATAAAATATCTGCTGCTGCAATTGCTAGTTAAAAAGCATGTTTCCAAAGATTAGTAGAATTACCTTCTCAATGGCACAGTCCCATCCCAAAGACATTCAGATAGTTACCTGAATACTCCATAGATAGATACAGCCATTTTCATGAGCAGAAGCCAGTACTGGTAAGTGTAAGTTACTTGCGTCTTCTGCTTTGGAACACAAATGATCATACATTTTCTTAACAATTTTTAGTACTGCTTTTGAATGCACAGAAAGTAAATAACATTAGAAAAAAAGTAAATTTGAAAATAACCTCCATCATCAAGATGGCGTTACTCTGAAAACATTACAGATATGGATAAAAGACAACTGAAAAGAAATTAGAACAATCTTCATGATCTTATCTAAACCAGCCCAAACTATTGCTCCATGATGCGGAGGATCCTTATTTAGAGCACAGCGAAAGATTTCAGAGAAACTGCAAGCACTAGTGAGAGTAGAGGAGTGCAAGACAGTGGTCATCAGGACAGCTGAGAGGCAGTTTTGCAGCCTCTGCATGAGGCTTCTAGAAATTACTATAAATTCAGCAATGAAGGGACATTTAATAACTAAGTGACATTTCACAATTCTGAATCATAGATTTCTACACTTACTTATCCAGTTTAAAACTTTTGCTAAATGCAGGGTGGTGGTCACAGAGAACCTTTTTTGATTTCCTGCTCTGACACCCCAGAGCTGGAGATGCTGGGGGAGTCCCATGAAGGTCCTCAGTGAAATGGACATTCAGTGGATGCAGGACCTAACATAAGTGTCTATTTCATTGAGCAGCTACAAGGTTTAGGGATATTCTGGTTTCAGGGCATGTTTTCTTTGCAAAATAAATTCAGCTTAAATCCACATTTCAGATGATCAGATTTCTTGTTATTGGGAAAGTCTGCTTTCCAGCAGAGGATGTGTAGAGTATTCCGAAGAATCCTGAAGATTTACTTCTTGCAAATTCACCAACTCCATTTGCACAGGTTTAACTCTTAAGCACTTGGCTCTCTCTTGTTTCTGTTGTTTTAAGGACAGATATACTATCTTTCCTTCTAAAATTCCATCTGCTTTTGAAGATTTTGTCTGTGAGGCCATTCACTCATGCTTGACTCAAGTTGGCTCTTACTACACCATTTCAATATTTCATTGATCAGATATTTATGTGGAAGAGAAGTGTGTATAACTGACTTTCTCAAATTCTGAAAGGTTTTCAGCATCATGTCTACTTAGAAAAATCAGCAATTAGGCCCTTGCATATCCTATATCCTTGCCTGGCTTTTGGGAAATAACTGCAAATCAGGGCTGAGCAAAAGGCATTGAGGTGTGTCATCCACATACCAATGGTATCCCACACAAACTGACAAACTCAGTTTCTGTGGTAATCTGGGCAGAACTTATGGATCAACAACAAAGAGAATGAAAAACAACATCTTTTCATACCTGTTGTTATTTGAGTATTAATTTCATCACTTCTTACATTTTCCTAAAAGCAAGGAATAAAATGTAACAGAATTAGAAAATAGAACTTGGGTGTAACTACAGAACAGTTTTCTAACTGAAATTATTTTAAGAACCTATCTTTTTTAATTGAACAATTCAAATATTCCCCCAATTTCCATTCAGTCTGCGATAGCACTGAGTGAAAACAAGAAACATTTCATCTGAAGAGAATCAAAATCACAGATGAACAAATCACAAATGAAATTAATTGGAATTTAGGAGCATGATAAAGGTAAATTTGGCTGAATGGCATTAATTTCTTAGGACAAGCAAAGTCGATCACTTACAGTCATTTGAATGTAACCCAGACCTCTTACTTGGAGAGTTTAATACAGAACATGCCTATAGTCTTGTTACTGCCTTGAGCAACGATGAAAAAACCGCATAAATAGCAATAACATTTACTCACATCTGCATTTTCAGTATGAGAATTGTTATAGTCTTTCATTTGTGCCTTACTATATAGACTTCTGAGGATTCACAAGGCTGACAGTAGTGAGTATACTGGCCCCAATTGCCAAGTCAAATAAGACAGGAAAAACTGTGCAGCCACAAGTGTTTGAGGTATCTTAGAAAAGGACAAGCCGCTTCAATCTCATTCTACATATTGATCTGTAAGGGTTGATTGGCTGGGCTTATGGGGAACTTTTTAACAGCTGCAAATGCCTGTCTATTTTGTTATTCTAACGACTGCATAACACAAGATATTGTATACTTTAGTTAGCAGATGACAGTTAGGCCTTTGTCTACTTGGGAATCTATGAAAGTGCCATGCTCTGCTGAAACAACATGATGGAAAGAATCAGAGAGGTAGCAGGATTTTCCTCTTTTTTGCCTACTTGCTGTTTGCTGCTGTGGAGATATGGCATGTTCTTCTGGCATAAAAAGACAAAAAGTGTTAGAAAAATTATAATGCTATCCTTAGCAAAAATACAGATTGAAACACTGGCATCTTGATGATAAACTAAAAAAAAAATTACCATAATGTCATTTGAAAGCCATATAACTAAGCAAGTGTGGCTGCAATGTAGATGTGGTTCCACTTTTATTCAAGTACTTCATGACTGTATTTTACCTTCCACATTGAGTTCTTCTATACCCCCATTTGAAAGTCAGAATTGCTAGTGATAAGCATCTGACAAACACTTTTACAGTCAGCTATTCCATGTATCACAGAGCCAGTTGCCTGACAGAATGTATTCTTAATTTCCCACCTCATTCAGTTTGGGCAAACAAAGTTGATTTCTCTGTAATTCTTGATATTTAGTTTTGTGTAGGGCTTTATGGAAGGATTTTAGTAAGCTACAGGATTTTAAAACAAAAACCAAAACAAAACCAGAAATTTGTTTTGAATCCCACCAAATCCATGATGGCACTATACCTACCTTATGTAGGTTCAAAGAACTGCTCTTGTGCTCTGGAATGGCACTGATATCACCCCTCACAGTAGCAGACGGCAGGGAACTGATTTTCCTGTGTGAAAGAAATTAGTGGAGATCACTGACATTCTTGAAGATACTGTTTGCTATCTGGAAATCAATATTTAGTCTAATAAAGCATAATAAAATAGTGCCTGAATTGATTAGACTAATTAGACTAAGAGTTGTTGGTGTTTTAGAAATTTATCCAAGTAACTAGGCAATATTTGCATATTACACAGCCAACCTTTCCCATCAGGAGTTTTGAACAAATTCAATCCATAGTAAATCAAAATGAACACTGGTGTTCATCCTCAAGAAGTGAAGGGGAAAAATTCAATGCCAATGGTTTCTTCTCTTTCATTTTATGCAGTACTTCGCTCTGCAAATAATATTCAACTAATTATAGAAACTTATTTTCAATCTTTCAAGATAATGCTCAGAAATAGGATTCTGTGGAAGAAACTCAGGAAAAAAGTTTGGATGTGGCCTTCAATGTTTGTGTTTCTGAGTCAAGAAAAGTTCTGACTGTGCTAATGAGAGGTTCTTGCCACATAACTTACACCAGTGTCACAACTGCTCTGTTTTTGACAAGAGTATCTGAATAACTGGGATCATGTAAAACCCATATAGAAAGTGTGCAGCTGGAGTAGCCCACTTAGAATCATACAATCATAGAATAGTTTGGGTTGAAAGGGACCTTTAAACATCACATAGTCCAACCTCCCCTGCAATGAGCAGGGACATCTTCAACCAGACCAGGTTGCTCACAGCCCCATTCAACCTGACCTTGAATGTTTCCAGGAATGGCGCATCTACCACCTTGCTGGTAACACCCCTTAATTCCTTTGGGGTATTTCACTGCTGTATCTCTTTTGACTCCTATTACGTCAGAAGCCCCTGTCTCATCTCCGTAGTGTGCTGCAGTGTAGCCAGCATGTCACAGAGCAACAGGCTGCAGGCCCTCTCAAGCACCCAGTCTCTCTAAGCGTTGCCTGTCATCCCACAGCTTGTCATGGGCAAGCCTGCTATTGCCCCCCTCAAGCCCACTTGAATTTGAACAGGTGGCCCTGAGTTCATAATTAGTCAGTGTTTGATTTTACAGACGTGCTAGCATTCTTAACATTGTGTGTGTATATATGATCACAGTCAAATTTATCCAGGTACCTTCGCAGTATGTACAAAACATCCTAAGCCTATATTATTCAAAGTCGTTGAAGGACCTTCCTGCTTAAGCACAATCAGAACTTTTCTTGATTTATAAAAAATTCTGTTGTGAATTGTAATCACAACATTTTTCATTTAGCTAGGATTACCTTTGCATATCCATTGGAAGACAGGCACTTCCGCTGTTATGTACGTGTGCAATGCCTTTCTCTCAAAATGACCATATTTGGCTAAAATTCTGTTCTCCATCCAACACTACCAACCTATGCCAGCTTCTAATTTGTTTTAAATGCAACTTGAGGCTGCACACTTCAATGAGCTTGCCTTTCTCCTTGTTTGCTGAGAGTATCTAATACCATGAGCATTGTATCAAGTTTAAAAAAAAGAAAAACCCTACTGCCACACAGAGTTATCACACAGAGATAAGAATCAAAGAAGGTACAGTACACAGGAAAACTAATACCTGAGAAAAGCTGACTTGAATTCTTCAGCAGAATTGAGACTTATGAGGTCATTTACAGGACAAAAGGATAGCTGAGTGAAGCAGTAAAAAAAGAACATGTAATATGGATTGACGAGCTTTACAAAAATTTAAGGATGGGAAAGCTAATTAACTGTTTGAACTTGAACTGATTAAATACAAAGAAATTCTGAATTTAAATCAGCTATCTTGGACAAAAACTACATCAGTTTACTACAACAAAATTCCAAATGCCTGTGTCTGTCCTGTGGGAAGAGAAGATGCACACAGTTACCTGGAATAGAAAGCACTATGTACAAGGAATAACACGGCATTGACTCCAGATGCTTGAAGAACTGAAGGCTGGCTGTCTTCATTAATTTTACACCTGAAAATAAAGATGTTTGTACAGTGTCAGATAGGTTGCATATTGTTCCCAGAAAAATTTGCAGACTTTATTTGTAATCTAAAAAATGAAACCTTTCATTTCCCAGAATGTACCTCACCTAAAAGTTTTAGACACTGTTTTTCAGAACCAGTTAATCAGTTCCAATGGATTAATGTCAGTGAAGAGTAGGTACAGAATGTGCCTGTGCCAGGAAAAACAGTAACCTGATGGAACGATGAACACTTCTTTCAGACAAATATTTTCTTGAGAAGTAATATTTAAGAGAAAAGTAAAATAACTTATGTTGAAGTTAACTAGCTAAGTTAATGTTAGAAAAGTACCCTTTTTCTGGCATTCAAGCCAGTCACGCGAAGCCTGGGTAAAATACTCTACTTACAAAGCATTGACTTCCCTGTCTTCCATGCACGCACTTGAACTGGCTCCCTCATATATGGGGAGGCAAAAGCAAAGGAAGAGACAGACCCATAACTGCAGTTAAGTTTTGATCATTTTTTGGAGGAGCTGGAGATGTGTGCATGCCTCCAAGGCTATGATCTTATTGGCATCGTAGAAATTTGGTGGGATGACTCCTACAACTGGAGTTTTGGCATGGAAGGCTACAGGCTCTTCAGGAGAGACAGGCAAGGGAAGCGAGGAGGCGGTGTTGCCTTATGTGTCAACGAGCAGCTGGAATGCATGGAGCTCAGCCTAGGGATGGATAAAGAGCCAACTGAGAGCCTATGGGTCAGGATTAAAGGGAAACTGGGAGCAGGGGACATTACAGTGGGGGGCTGCTACAGGCCACCTGGCCAAGAGGACCGAGCAGATGAAGCCCTCTATAGACAGACAGGGGCGGCATCACGTTCACAGACCCTTGTTCTCATGGGTGACTTCAACCACCCTGACATCTGTTGGAAGGGTAACACAACCAGGCATAGGCAATCCAGGAGGTTCTTGGATTGCATTGAGGACAACTTCCTTCTCCAAGTGGTTGAGGAGCCAATGAGGAGAGGAGCTATGCTGGACCTTGTTCTTACCAACAAGGAGAGGCTGGTAGACAGTGTCAAATTCAAGGGTAGCCTGGGCTGTAGTGACCATGAAATGGTCGAGTTCAAGATCCTCACGGCAGCGAGGAAGGTGTGCACCAGGCTGACTACCCTGGACTTTGAGAGAGCTGACTTTGGTCTCTTGAAGACTCTGCTTGGTATGGTGCCATGGGATGAAGTGCTGCAGGGAAGAGGGGCCCAAGAAAGTTGGTTAATATTCAAGGACCACCTCCTCCAAGCTCAGGAGCGATGCATCCCTACAAAGAGGAAGGCAGGCAGAAAAGCCAGGAGGCCTGCATGGATGAACAAGTTGCTCCTGGACATGACCAAAAGAAAAAAGGAGGTCTATAGGGAGTGGAAACAGGGGTGGGTGGCCTGGGAGGAATACAGAGAAATCGTTCGAGCAGCCAGGGATTGAGTTAGACAAGCTAAAACTAAATCTGGTCAGGGACATTGAAACAAACAAAAAATCCTTCTTTAAGTATGTCAGCGAGAAAAGAAGACTAGGGAAAATGTGGGCCCTCTCCGGAAGGAAATGCAAGAGCTGGTTACCTGGGACAGAGGCAGAGCTGAGGTACTCAATGACTTTTTTGCCTCAGTCTTCACTGGCAAGGACTGCAGCTGCACTGCCCATGACAAAGAATGCAAAGGCGGGGATTGGGAAAGTGGAGAACCACCCACTGTAGGTGAAGATCAAGTGCGAGACCACCTGAGGAACCTGAAGGTGTACAAGTCCATGGAACCTGATGAGATACATCCGCGGGTCCTGAGGGAACTGGCAGATGAAGTAGCTAAGCTACTAGCCATCATATTTAAGAAGTCGTGGCAGTGTGGTGAGGTTCGTGCTGACTGGAAAAGGGAAAAGGGAAAGAAAGAAGACCCAGGGAACTACAGGACAGTCAGTCTCACCTCTGTGCCTGGCAAGATCATGGAGCAGATCCTCCCGGAAACTCTGCTGAGGCACATAGAAAACAAGGAGGTGATTGGTGACAGGCAGCATGGCTTCACCAAGGGCAAATCATGCCCGACAAATTTGGTGGCCTTCTATGATGGGGTTACAGCAGCAGTGTCCAAGGGAAGATCAACTGATGTCATCTACTTGGACTTGTGCAAAGTGTTTGTCACCGTCCCACACGATATCCTGGTCTCTAAATTGAAGAGACATGGATTCAACAAATGGACCACTTGATGGATAAAGAACTGGCTGGACGGTCGCACTCAAAGAGTTGCAGTCAACAGCTCAATGTCCAAGTGGAGACCAGTGACAAGTGGCATTCCTCAGGGGTCGGTACTGGGACCTGTACTATTCAACATCTTTGTCAGTGACATGGACAGTGGGGTCGAGTGCACCCTCAGCAAGTTTGCCGATGATACCAAGCTGCGTGGCGAGGTAGATACGCCGGAGGGGAGGGATGCCATCCAGAGGGACCTGGACAGGCTGGAGAGGTGGGCCTAAGCCAACCTCATGAAGTTCAACAAGGCCAAGGGCAACGTCCTACATCTGGGTTGAGGCAATCCCAAGCGCAAATACAGGCTTGGCGGGGAATGGCTGGAGAGCAGCCCTGAGGAGAAGGACCTGGGTGTGCTGATTGACGAGAAGCTCAGCATGAGCCAGCAACGTGTGATCACAGCCCAGAAGGCCAACCATATCCTGGGCTGCATCAAAAGAAGTGTGGCCAGCAGGTCAAAGGAGGTGATTCTGCCCCTCTACTCCACTCTCATGAGACCCCACCTGGAGTACTGCATCCAGCTCTGGAGTCCCCAACATAAGAAGGACATGGACCTGATGGAGCGCATCCAGAGGAGCGCCACGAGGATGATCCGAGGGCTGGAGCACCTCTCCTGTGAGGAGAGGCTGAGAGAGTTGGGGCTGTTCGGCCTGGAGAAGAGAAGGCTCTGGGGAGATCTTATTGCGGCCTTCCAGTACCTAAAGGGGGCCTACAGGAGAGCTGGGGAAGGACTTTTTACTAGGGCATGTAGTGATAGGACAAGGGGGAATGGGTATAAACTGGAAGAGGGCAGGTTTAGATTAAACATTAGGAAGAAGTTTTTCACTTTAAGGGTGGTAAGGCACTGGAACAGGTTGCCCAGAGAGGTTGTTGAGGCCCCATCCCTGGAGGTGTTCAAGGCCAGGCTGGACGTGGCCTTGGGCAGCCTGGTCCAGTGGGAGGTGTCCCTGTCTATGGCAGGGGGTTTGGAACTCGATGATCTTCAAGGTCCTTTCCAACCTAAATCATTCTGTGATTCGATGATTTCCCATGGTACAGAAAAACTCAGCTCACTTTCTCAAAAACATGCCAATTTTACACATGAAGCATGCTGTGAAACTATTGGGTAGGACAGATAAATTGACTTTGCATGGTCTTAAAAGGCATGTATTCCATGACCAACACAGAAATATTGCCATGCTGCTCCACTCAGTTTCCACTCAGACATGTTTTCATCGTTCAGTTTCCTGATGTAGCAGCTTAATTAGCATGAGAATGTCTGGAACCATCCTACACTCACTTTTTGTCACTTTCTGTGAAAGTTTTTTACTCCCAAACCTCCAAAATCACTTCAGATTTCTCCTTGTTGAATGTGAATTCTAGTCTTCTAGGTATAGACAGTGATACTGATAACGTAGCGTATTTGCCATTGTCATCTGAAGTAGCATTATTTCCAGATGTCCTCCCAGACATGAAACTTCCAAAATAAGGATGGTTCTACAGCTCAGTAGCAGCCTCTAGTCAATGACAGAGTGACTTACATAGTGAGAGTTTCCTTCAGTGGCAGTGCTGAGTTATGTTAAAACGCTATTCTTAATTACATCATCCCTTCCCCAAATGAGTCTCTGCCTTGATCACTTCTCCTACCTGCAATGTCAGGACTAGCTAGCAAAGTAATTTGCCGGGGTGTGTGTGTGTGTGTGTGCTGATAAATCTTTACTTTAACTCCTGCTTGTCCGTCACCCTTTACAATCGGGTATCTTAGAACTTCCAGTATGCCATTTGAGAAGTTTGTATGAAATACTGGAGATCAAAATGCCTCCATGAAAGCAATACTTACAGGCATCTCACAGAGGCAGATTCAAAATCCCACAAAATTATTGCACCGTTTGCACTTCCTGTAGCTATCAAACTGTATCCTTCTACTTTCAAAACATCAAAACACTTCATTTCCACAGAAGGTACAAAATTCTACAAAGAACATTAAAACAATTGAGTAGGAGCAATGTGGACACTGGACAGTGAAATGTTTTAACTGTTAATTTAATAAGATGCCTAAATTGACAATGTCTACAACAACTGCATATTCAATGCTATTCTAATAGTATTGTATTTGAGCTACACAGAAGCACCAGGAGGAATCAGGGAGTGATAGTACCGGGAGACTCCCTGCTGCAGAGCACAGGGGCTTTTATCTGCCAGCCTGACCTGCTATCTACGGCATAGTTGCAAATAGAGCATGTAAAAACAGCTGCAAGATGTGAAGACTGATCAGAAGTAGGTATCTATAGAGATGCTCTAGTCAGGTGAAAGCAATAAGTCACTGAACAGAGATATAATGACCTTTCTATAAACATAATCTAGATCCATTACAAAGTTAGTGAAATTATACAAAACAAAACTGAAGTCTCATGGACTATTCAAGTTAAACTGGTCAACAATTGAAACATAAATATGACATCTTATTTTACCAAAGCAATAACAAGAGAAAATGGAATCACTTTTAACACCCAGTTTGATCTTTATGTGCTACTATTACTGAAGGTCTGTCTATCTATAGTAATGAACAGCATTTCATTTCTAGAAGAACTCATACAAGAACCTCAACTTACTATTTTGTGCAAGAATGTGAAGTCTATGTTCAAAGCAGCTGCTTAATCATGGCAAAAGCCATAGAATGGATTATTAGGCAGATATAGCCCTTAGAAACAGTCTCCCTCTTGCATGATTCATTTTAGACCTTCAGTGTACTGAAAAGTTTGGAACACTTACTTGGTTCTTATCCTGTCATTCAAACAATAAATCCTTGAGGGCACAGTAAACATTTTAGTTTCTAATCTTCTGTAAATGATGTAGAACCTTGAAGTGTTTCTCACCTCTGTATCAGTCCTCAGAGAACTGGTGTCAGACAGCAGCTGAATATCCGGAAAAAAATCATACGTTTGTAAGGTGTCAGGCTTCAATGACAGAGACACAACTGGATTCCTTTGTGGCAATGACACTGACTCAGGAAGCATCCATGTGACATACAGATATGATTGAACTGAGTTACCCTGTTGAAATAACCAACTTAATGGAAGAGGAACAACAGGATTTCTCTATTCAGAAGAAAATGATCAGCAACTGTGTGCCAAAAGCTTGTTTCCGTGCCAAACTACGAAAACCATTACAGACTTCACCTAGCATGTGCCTACAATGCAAACAGAAGCACCAGCCAGAGATATTTCAGCTCACTTTTAAATTACCTGCTGCTATAGTAGAAGCTGTCCAGATGTAAAGTTCAGAGCTTTTGATTTTATGCAGTCTCTTGAGTTATAGCTGCTTACTTTATTAACATTGCTAGTCCTCAGTTCATAACTACTATACCAGCAAAACTGGTAGTTGTTTCAGTTGCGCGAGAAGAACAAGCCACGGTTCAGCCATGGCCCTGAGTCATTGATTCCTCCCCATTGTGCGTAGAGGTCACTGGAGTTACCTTGATATTTTTTCTGCCTATAACAAATTCACTTCAGTATTTAGTTTCTGCTTTAACCTCAATATTTCTGTCCATTTTGGGAAGTCCTACTGAAACAATATTAATGTACTTACATTCATATAAACTTGGAGCAGATTCAACTCTTCACCAATGTGTTTGTCAAGGGATACATTTACATTTCATGAATGGTTTAACAATATCAGTAATAACACTGGGGGCAACTGGTGTGATGTAGTATTTCAGAAAAATCTGAATATCAAAAGCAAACTCTCTATAAAACAGCTTTTTATTAGCAGGAGGCTTAAAAGTAATAAATTATTTAGCAAGGTGAGAGCTTGTATGTTTTTTTCCCCCTAAATGTATCATCTGTCTAATAAAAGCTATTACTTCTCTCCGCAACCTTTGTTCCCTTGCACGTAGTAGCTTTAGAGTTTCATGAAGAGAATTTTGTCCCAAGTTTCTTCTTGAGGAAAAAAATTCAACATAGCCATGCTTTGTCTGAGAAATCAAACCCCGCTTATTGTGAGCTCCAAATGCACCCTGTTAATTTTTAGCTGAAGTGAACACAAGAGTAGACTATCAAAATCAAGCCAGGCAAGCCTGTCTGATTGATTACTCTCTTGTTTCTTGGTTCTTAAGCACCCACTGTCAATCTAGTAATTTTAGAAAAAAAAAAAAAAAAAAAGATAATTCTGTAGTCAAAATCTCTGATACTAAGTTTTCTTGCAGGATAATAGGTCACCTACTCTCCATAGAGGGAAAATATACCAAGAGGGATATTGGGTACAGTTGAGCTTCAAGCGCTTCAAAGTGACATAAGTGTATAGGCCTGAGGCCTTTATGGCTACTGAAACTGAACTCAGAGTCATGGGAGGTTCCTATTAGTAAATATTAAATGGATCCCCTATGGCATACAAATGAGTGGGATGGGTTGACAATAATCTGAGTCTGAGGGATCAGCTGCTGAACTAGGGCAGTTATCTCTACAAAGTTCTATCCATAACCCAAGAAGGTAATGCTGTGTCTTCCACTTCTCAAGGAGTGCACGAAGTCCAAAGGGCAGTGGTGAAGAAGGAAAAGGTACAGCTGCCTCATGAGAACATGGCCCTAGGCCTGAGGTACTGTTCAAAAGCAAGCTCTGACCAGTGCAGTGGGGCAAAGTACATAAACAGGAATTGCAGGAACAGTTCTAACCAGTCTCAGCTTCTGGTGAACTAGAAACTCTTTAAACAGGGTAAACACTCTCTATAATAACAACAGGAGTATTTTAAAGCTTTTACCTTAAAAGATCTATAACTACTGAAACCTCAGTCACAAACAAAAAAACATTAATGTGCCATTACTGTGAGTGCATGGAAAGGAATTATCAGAGTCCTGGAAACCAGCAATGGACTAATGAACATATTAACACTTAGACAGTAAAGCGGAAAGCTAATTTGATGACATGCAGAAAGGGGATTGTTCCTTGACAGTTTCTAAAAGTTTATCTACTAATTAATGAAAAAGTCTTATTTTACCTTGAAAATTAGGAGCTACCAAATGTAAATAGAAAAAAAATAAATTAGATAAGTGTATTTGAAAAACCTGAATGATTTTCATCTTCCCACTCTGCTCCAGAACAAGAAGTGCATGTTGACTGTCATCAGCCTTCAGATAAACTATCTTCAGCAGACGACACTCATCTTTGCTGTGCTGGGCCAAAGGCAAAGCTTTAACTTCCTGCCCACTTTCAAACTCCCAAATTTTCACTGTTCCTACACAGGGATGAGAAAGATACACAAAGGAATTAAAGTTCAGCAATAACCTGTGCTTCAAAGTCAGAAGTTTGAACTGGGTTGAACAGGGAAAGGAGAAGAAAAAAGAAAATCCAATTGAAGGTTCAGAGCTGGGTCATTGGTCTTTCAAAAGCTGTAATGGGAAAGCACCCTCAGGGACACAAAACTTACCAGAAAATACCTTCACAACTAACCCCACCATCTTTTCCCATGCCTGTTTTATGCTGCAGCTCAGGATAAAAGACCACTGCCTATCTCACTTCTGTTTCTGGCCTAATGCCATCAGAGAGCAAACAGTGTGGTGGGCAGTCAGGCAGAAGACTTCAGCTGCAGCAAGCAACCGAGGGACCTGGTTGCTGGACTTGTCCCACTGAGTTAGTGAGGAGAAGGAGCTAGACCATTATTTTAAGTGAAACACTTAACTACATATGACTCCACATTTCTAAGACTTGGTAGCGTTCACCTTCTGTCATGCTCTTAAGATCCATAAAGGGTGGACTCTCTACGCCCCAGTATAAATAAGAAACATTAGCCAGTATGCTGTGTGGAAAAGGCTATCTCCTCTTTATGTGAGGTAGCTTTAGTGTATTTCATATATTTTAACACTTCAGGTGTGTACTCTTGAACATTTGAATGTAAGAATTCAGCCATGTCAACAGATTACAAAATTATCAAAGTTTGCTGCAGAATTCAGTGTAGCTCCTGTGTATTGGAGAGGTCTTTTCACATTACCTAAAACTGATACACCCTAAATAACACAAAAAAAAAACCCCTCAGGAAATACATAGCTATATATATTCTAGTGTTCAGTGCCTGCAGATACTACAAAATTGAGCTTATGATACTATAAAATTGAAAAACTACCTTTCTCCATCTGCAGCCATTAATTACAATGTGTTACACAGATCTGTGTCCTAAGTCCTATGAGGAATCATCGTTTCAGACCAAGAGCTTCGCAGATAGTCTTCCATAGAGCAATAAGCTAGCAAAGTACCAGACCTCAAGCAGCCAAGAATCACCTTTCTGTGAATCACCTATCAAATAAAACCCAACCAAGATAACCCTCCCCCTGCTGCCTTTTCCCCCAGACTGCACATTCCTTTCTGTACATATTTCCTCCCATCTTGAAAGAAAGCCAAAATTAATTCTTCTGTCACTGAGACAGTCAAGGCAAAGAGTCCTGTCTGCTCATGTCATATGTCATTTTAAATAAATGTATTAAAAAGGTGGTAATTATTTAATTGCTTTACCATCACATGCCCCAGTAGCAAGATAAAACCCATTTATTTCAATGGCTGCACAGGTGACTTCAATATTTGGCCCATGTGCATCTTCAATCTGATATATTTGATATCCTGTTTCTAGGTCCCAGACCTGAAAAAATAAGATGGTAATTATTTGTACTGCAGCCTCAAAAACTCATCATACAATGTGTTCTAGTGTAATTAGTGGTAGACGAATACTTCAAGAGCAAATTTTCATATCCTGTGAAACAGGTTCTCTGTTAGAATAGCACACTACCATGTTCTTTTACTGAAATACTGGTGTAATTTCCCTGAAAATGTCCCTCTCCTCAGAGAAGCAACTCTAGCAAGGGCAGGCTCTATTTAGCATGCTATGAGAAAGACCCATGTTAAGTCAGGGAGACTGTTGTCAAACATAATGAATTTCTACAGTGCAAAAGCAAAGAAATATAAATACAAAGAATGGCTAGAGCTGTAATTTCTGTGCTGAAGATCACAATGAGGCTTTTCATAAACATTTGGTCCCAAAATGTAGGAAAAACTATGTCTGATCATTATCTAATCCTTTTGGGAATTTAAGCACTGCTTATAATGAAGAACCAGTACAAAGTTTGGTCTCTGTAGTGGAATAGCTCAGATTCACCTGGATTTATGAATCAGCCACTCATGTCATATGCACTATCTGAATCTGATTTTCTACAGCACCAAGTGCCCAAAGCTATCTTGTAATTGTAATGGTGTTGTAGCCATTGTGGTCTAAGGTTTACAGTGAGAAATAACATCTTTACCAAGTGTATTAAATGAACAAATCTTTACACAAATGAGGCTTTCTCTGCTGGAATGGCATGCATCACCAGCTGGCCCAATAAAAGATGTTACCTCTCCCTACAAATCTTGCCATGTGACCTCATCAAGAGTTAATGAAAACTGCAGGTCCTTGGTACCTCCGGTGATCATTGTCACATTGTTAATTACCCTAGTAATGATTCATTTTATTCAGCTGTGGGTTTTCTGACACTTGCATGGCAACTATTTTTTAGTGGTTCAAATGCAAATGGTAAAGTTAATAGGCAAATTTAATCTTTTCATTAATGCTTCAACACAAGTAGAGTTGTGATAAAATGTGATAAAAGTGATCTCCATCACTTTATTTGTCTTGTTAGCTGGCTATTATATTCAACACTTCTCCCTCACTGTATGAAATCCTTAAGGCTCGGAACAAGATGTTCTAAGAAATAATTTCAATGAGAAAAGAATCTAAAGAAAGTCAGCAAATTGGCTCCAGAACTGCTAGCCAAATAGAAGCAGATCAGTCAAAAGAATAAGAAGCAAAACAGAAGGATAAAAGTCAGGTTTTATAGTTTAGGCATAGTGTATGTGCTAATTAAATTTTTCAGTTTTAGTGAAGGAATCTTTTTATCTAAGAGCAGCATCTTTTACACAGTCCTTTTTTATACAAAATCACTTTTTTTCATGTTTTATACCAATCCATAGAATGTCTAAAGTACACATTTATATTCTACTAAACTTTATATTCTTCCTAAACTTTAAATAGAAGCTTATCAGATATGCCTTCTGAACTGAAGAATAATGTGTAATTGTGCTTGCATGAATTGCTGATTGAATGTACAGCTTGACATCATGACCATTAAAATTTTCCTTTGTAGCTACTAAATAGCCAATGGACTTTCACTACAATTGTTATACTTGCAAGAGTCCATTGCAGGAACAGGTGAAGTTTTCCTGTTCAGCCAAAGGAAATAAAATTACAACTAATCCAGTATCCCCAAAGCCTTGCTCAATCTGTCTGGTGCTTTGCAGTGCAGCCATGTCAGCGCAGGCCAGGGAAGTATTTTTCTGACAAAAGTAATGCTGCTGAACCCAAATAGTTTATCCATCACGACTACCACTTCCCTGGAGAATTTGAGCACAAAAATAACCACAAAACCAACACTTTGAATAATAAACACTAATCACTTATCTAATTGCCCAGTAACTTATTTGTAATAAAAAAGCGAAGGCTTTTCTTTTTCAGTTTAAATGGTGACAACTTACACTCACCTTCAGTATTGACTCAGAGCAGATAGTGAGAATCTGGTGAAAAGTCCTGTTGTAAACCAGAACATTGATGCTTTTCTGATGCGTCTGTGGCACCAACCTTGTGTCTTGTATCATATGAGTTAGGGGATAAATATCAATGACAACTGAACCTGCGCAGGGTGAGAGGAGTGAGAATATATAGATTTTGTATATAGTATCAGTTACTTTCCCATAGATGCAAAAAGATTTTATGTAAACCATAGGGTTCATTTGAGTTCTTCTGAAATTGATAAGGAATGTTTTCTGTTTCTTGAGAATATCTGTTCTCTAAACCAGAAAACATTCACACGTGCTCCCCACAAAGCACCAGTTAAACAGTGGCTAAGTATTTACCTGCCTTAAACAACCACCTGCCCACCTTCAATGGGATTGATACCCTGACTCCAAATCATTAAGAGCCATAAATCCCCCAGTCCTGGCATGGGTTGGCATAGAATGTAATGAACCCAAATAAAAAAAACTGTTAACTGGCAGATATATCACTAAAATAAATTCTGGTATCCATTTTCTTAGAGATAAAGCAATTCTACTGCAGGTAATGATGATGTCTTTCCAGTATCTTCCTTTATGTGGCACTGGACTGAACGATGTTTTCTAGACACCTTCGAACGCTCTCAGATCAGAAGGCTTGCAAAACCAGAGGCAGATGGGGAAGACAAGACAAAAGAAAGGACAAGGTTTTTACAATGCAGGCTCACAAGCCAGACTACACGTGCAGTGCAGTGTAGCGTAGTGCAGTGTAGTGTAGCATCCTACACTACAGTGTAGTGTTCCAGTATTACTACGGTTCTACCAGCAGAGGAGCAGCAGTCAGCAGGGAGTAGGCAGCAAAGGACGAAATTGCCTAACACTTGGCATAAGTCCAGGCACAGAGGCCAGCAGCTTGGCAAAGGCACAGAAGGAAAGCTGTTGCAATACTGAAATGAAGCATGAAGGTGAGCTGTGATTTATAGATGTTAGTGAACTGAAAATCTCCTCTGTAAATTCAGGTCGATACCAATGAGAATTCATTTGCCCACATATAGCCTCAGTCTTTTGCCCTCTTCAGGGGCAAGGAGACATTCACTTAGCCTTTTAATGGAATTATTAACAGAGTCCAGGACCAGATTTTTACAGATATTTAGGCACTGTTCCAATCATTGTTTATAAGGGTAAAGTTACCTCATTTTGTCAAGGATTTACGCATTTAAAGACCCTACATTACTAAGCCTTGAAAACTTGAATTTGAACTGAAGATCATATCTGTATTCTTTAGTGATTAAAAAGCTTGAAAAACTAGGCTGATTAATATTGTGGGCATTTTTTAAATAAGACCTAGAAGGTGAAGTTTCTTAAGCTTTGCAGTGCTTACCAAATGCCTAGATAGATATAACATTTTGTGGACTCTAGTCTATATTTAGGCTTCTAAAACAGGCTTATTGACACAAAGATTCAGCAGAAACTACCAGGTCACTGAAAACAAAATGTTTCACGTTCATCTTCTCAGATTTGACAAGCTTTTCAAGCTTTGTGCCTGGTTCCTAAACCAAGGACAGAAAAAGCTGTCTGCAAAGACAATGACCTTATTTGTCTGGTATGTCTCAAGCCTCTCTAGTGCCAGAACAGGTTCAAAGCTGTTTTTTTTTCAGCAAGTAGGTCCCTGGGACAGACAAACCCTGCCCGTTTCCAGAGTCTCTGCCTCAGATACAGAAGGCTAACATCCTTAATGACACCAGTGAAGCTCTGGTCCCTCGAAGGTCTCAGACTCCCTGCTACAGAGTCAGGAAACGGAGCTCCAAAACCTTGGGATGAGTTCCCACAAAAATTCATTCCTGATCAATCATACAGTGTGTCTGTTGACACCACAAATTGTGGGGTCTCTCTAGCTACTGAACTAAATAAAGAGTTTGAATACACTTGTGAGAGCTCCACAGAGACTATACTTTGCGGCTTTGATCTCCAAATGGGAGAAGGGTGCTAGAGGAATAGTATGGAGAAGATCAGCAACTTAGTAGCTTTCAAAAGATGACAAGGCTACAGAATAATATCTGTAGTTTTATTTTTCTAAGGAAGGCTCACCTTGCCTTCAGAGAAGCCTTTCTCATTTCCTCTGGTTCCTGTTGTTAATTCCCATGCTGCATATTTTTTATGCATATTTCTATATTGAAATTAGCGCCATAATAACAATACCTACTTTAAAATGGTCTTAATGTACAAATACCCTTACCTCCTAGTATTCTGTACATCTCATATACCTTATTCCTGTATTCAGCTTCAGTTGTATGTAAACATAAAGGAAATGGCTTTCTAGGAGAAGGGGGATGGATGCTCTCACATATCAACTGCAGTAACATACCAGTGATAAGCATGCCACGATCATTGTCAAACACCATGGCAAAGGTCTCCATCTCTCCAGGACTCCCTTGATTATCATGGAAGACCTGCAGCAGTGAAAGTGTCTGTATATCCCACACTCTAAAAATCTAGAGAGAGAGAGGGGAGACAATCTAGTACTGTGTCAAGTATCACATTGGATTTTCAACTACTGTTTGTTTCTATGACAGTAATACTATAGCCTCCAACGAAAATCACATTGTTAAGCATCAAATAAGCAAGGCAAATACCAAAGGTCTCTGTATCCCCATTTTACTATGAATAAAAGGCACAGAAAGGCTGAGTTTTGTAATCTTGACCTGACAAGTCCACCGTGGAATCAGATCTCCTGAGAACTAGTTCTACTCCTTAATGACAAGATGACTCCATTGTGTCATACTTTTCAGTCACATGCCAATAGTTTAAAAGCTTGTATTTGAACTGGACTATCAAATGGTGTGCAGCAGTACAAAGATAAATTTCAGAGGGTTCCAGGTAAAGGAATTCCTGAAATCTTTGATTGACAGCAGATGTTGGCGCAAATCAGGATCAGGACACACTGCAGAAGGATCATTTTTTTGCATATGTAGTTCTTTTGCTCTCCATAACCAAATGCTACCGATCACGGTTGGGGCACTATCCTGTAGGGAACACTAGATATATTAGAAATCTTTGTTCTTACTTTCAGTTTCAACGGAAAACACAGCACTCACTTTAAACTCTAGAATTACTCATCAATAATTGTATGTTAGCAACACTTATTCATCCTGCCTGATCAAAAGCTGTGTTGAACTTAGTATTATGCCATGTAATCTGCTCTTAATCCTGCAAGACATCATGATATAATTTCAGAGATCCCATGGCTTTTAGTATGGTGTATTTCCCTGCAAGATAATCTTTCTGTGCTCTCAAAAGTTATTCTGTCATCACCTCTGCCTGCAATTCTTATTCAGCTGCCAAATACATGGTGAGTTTTATATAGGCATTTGTGCAAGTTATTTGTATTTTTTCAATTGTGTTACTAAAAGGCAGGGATGCATTTTTAATTGGGATTTTAACACAAAGACATATGTCGGTACAATGTTCCCATCGATACTGGTAGTGTTGTGGGTGTTTACAAAAGTCATTGAATCTTTGGATGAAATGCTCCGTAAAATATAAGTCCATAAAACACATCATCACAAACCCATGAAAAATTCAGCTGAATTTAATAACTGAGCTGCGTCTCAGACAGAAATATCATGTGAATAATTCTGCTTCCTGTGCTACAGTCCCTGGAGGTCTTCCTCTTTCAGCTCTTCCTTATTCTTAACTTTGTCACTGAGTTGAGATCTCACTGGCTTTCCTTAGGTGATCTTGATGCAGTCAGTCAAATTCTAACTTCACAGGCTTGGCCAGGAAGCATGAAGCAGCCAGTCTGCCTTGACTGGGGCTGGGCTGCTGTTTCTCTAAAACAGCAATATTTTTGGGAGATCTAATGAGGAAAAAAAAAAAAAAAAATCCTAGGAAATATCTCAGGGAAATCCACTACCATTTCTTTGATTCATCCCAGGATTTCCTGTATGGTGACAAACATTATGGTAAAGGTAGGTCCAACTCTGCAGACAGCTTGGGTGCAGATTCTTGCATTATATTCCTGAAAACCTACTTAATTCACCCGCAGGTAAAAGCAGCTGTACATTAGCTTGCCTGTTGTGGAAAGACAGTCCAGTAAGCCTCTTAAAACCCGCATAAGCAGCTGACCGTAACAGATGGGCATTGTAATAGAAAAAGAAGCAAGCGGAATTGGGAGAGCAAGACTGGAAGTTCATTTGTAAATTACTTGTTCTTTCTTTCTGACTGATATTTTAGATAGCACAATGACTGGCACCTTAGAAAAAAGAGATTAGACAGAACAGAGAATGTAGAGCTCTGTTCAGCACTTTCATATAATTCCATAAAAGTTTTAATGACATAAGCTACTTGCTAAGGCCATTAACAAGTTATGCCCCAGGAAATGACTTACAGCCAGTCTCATGTCAGAAGTGCTAGAAACCACTATCTGATGCATAACTCAAATTCAGCACAGTCAGGGTGCTATTGACCTAGAAATGCTGGTGACTGGTAGAAGAAAGATGGATTAAATTATCATTAAAGACATTTGATTTGCAAAGTAATTGCTTTGAGCTTGTCTTGCCTAACACCAAGCTAGAAATCTGACAGGAAGAACTCTGAGGAAAAATGAAGAACATGACATCTGTTAACCTCATAAAGAAAATAGTTACAATCAAATTCACTGCTGAAAACTCAGAAAATTCAGTTTCGTAACATTACTCACCTTATAATACAGAGATCTTTGAAAACCTAAAACAGCCCTGAGAAATACTGTCTCTGCAAATTTGGGATTACACAATTTTAATTCTGCAGAGTGCCACTTGTATCTGTCCATTTGGTCACATAAAAGCTTAATTATTTTTTTTTTTTACATACTTCAGGGAAAAAATTTGTTTTACACCTATAAACAGAAAAAGTAAGTGGTTTTCCAAAAGACATGCAGCAAATCGTAGTCTGAAACATAACCCACAAGTTTTGACTATTTCAGCTTTCCTCACCATAGCTTATTCCTTTCTTCACTTTGAAATTTATTTATTTTTCTGTTGAACTCAGCATGTGCACGTAATAATCCATAGGCAGCATGTCATGTCTTTAAAAATGCTTTTGATCATGAGGAATACTTCACTTGTGCATATGTTCATGTTATGAAAAGTTGATTGCAATTGCCAGGAATTATTTCTTCCAAAGGAACACACTATATAATTAAGAATGAGTGTTTGTTACTTTGGATGTTATAAAATGTTGAAGTATCTCTGGGGTTGTCACTTTAACAGAGGATCTCAGCATGGAAAAAACACCATTGCTAAAAAACCCCAACCAAATAGAAGACTGTTCACTGTTTGCAGAATAAAAATAATGGAGACAGTAATGGATGGAAATTATTCAGGGAGATACACAGATTTTGAGATTATTAGACTTTCCATCAGTAACCTGGCTGGAAACCAGATTTTAAAGCAAGTTACAGAGGATCCAGCAAAATTCTGAAAAGGAAGGGAAGAAAAGAAACAGATACACCAATCAGTGTAAATCACCTTTGGCACCAGAGAAAAGTTCACAAATGAGAGTTTCAGAATTTTAAGGAGAAAGAAAATTTCTCCTGAATATTTTGTTTGTTTTCAGGAAAACTCAAAAGAAAAAGGTTCTATAGAACTTCTTACTGAGGTTAAATTTTCTCTGAGACAGTACTGAGTCAGAAGAACCATGTCCATCATATTACTCTGATAGACTGATAGATTACATTTCAGGAGTTTACTCAGACATGCACTTTCTAATACATACAAAAAGACCTTCAGGGAGAAATAGACAGTGAGAAGGCTTGAAAAAGGAAATCTGGTTGAATAGAAAAAATGACGAAACTGTTCATCCAGCTGACAGTAGACCAGGAAAAATAGAAGTATTGGTGATGAAAATTGATAAAATTAAGGCACTATTACTATTGCAGGTAGATCTCCAAGCTCAATTCTGGCACAGTCACAATTAGAGCATGTAAAAACAGCTGAGAACTTAATATTAATCAGAATCAGGTATCTATGGTGATACTCTAGTCGGGTGAAAAGAATAAGTTGCTGAACAGGGATATAATGACTTTTCCATAAGCATCACCCACATCTGTTACAAAGTTAGTGAAATTATACAAGACAAAACTGAAGACAGACAATTCTAATAATCTCATGGACTATTCAAGTTAAACTAGTCAACAACTGAAATATAAATTTGACAGCTTATTTATCAAATCAATAACAAAATAAGATGATTTTACAGCACAAGTGAATATAAGTAAGAGCATCTTGCACTATTTCTTGGTGCTTGTTGAGCTATAAATGCCAGTACCGCATTAAGAAAAAGCAGTCACTTAAAGTGACAGCAAAAACCCGGACACATCACAGCATTCATAAGTCTCTTCCCTTCCTTCCAGTCTTCTTCCTTTCCCAGCCAGTAGGCAGGGATGGGGAGATTACATAAAGGACTGTTCCACATGAGTAACTCCCACACAAGGCATCACCAGCATGGCCGCGAGATATAATGTCACTGCTGTTCATCTGCGTCAGCACACATGACTGTGCATGAATTCATGCGTGAAGAGCGGCAACAAAAGGCATGCTTATTTGGAAATTAGGAGGTGACTAGGGGGAGTTGCCTTAGGAATGTTTTGTTAGTAACACTGCTGTTGTACTTATTTATTGAAAAACTTTCCACAGCAGCCTGACAAATGCCAGGAATCCCTGAAGCCCTCTGAAAATATATTCTTTATGGCAAAATGCATCTAGACTGTGTTTTCTGAAATCACAGACTACAGACTCTATTCAAGCAAACAAAACACATTATGAAGGAGATAGACTGGAGAGAAGGAGCTTCAAGTGTTTTTGGTAACTACTTCTTTCCTTCTTCCAGGTGTTTCCACCTTACGGGGAAAGCTGAGCTTTACTTGCACAGCACCATATCAACAACACTGGCTTACATTAGTGAAAATCCTGGTTCAGTTTGGGTGCTAGCAGAATTGGCTTTGACCCAGATGTATACCTTTTTTTAAGAGTTAGCAGAGGAGGGATTCTTGCCTCTGTTCCCACATCATGGCCAGCCTCCTTCACATGGCTGGTAACAGGCACAGAGGGGCACTCGAGGAATGCACGCTGCCTCTCTTTCCTATCTCGGCTGCGACAGTTTAAGCAAACTACCCTGTTATCCTCTCCAGGACTGCAGTCTTGAGCACTTCCCTCTGTTCTGGGTTGTTCTTGTGGCTTTCATTTTTCAACCCAATGGCAAAACTACATAGTTACAGATGGAATTTCCACAGACCCTAAGCAAAACCGGGAACCAAATCCTTCCAGAATTCAGTGGGAGTTCTTGCCAAAGCCTTCTGAGATCCCTTAAAAAGTTTAAATGTGTATATTTGCATACATATACACCTTTCTCTCAAGCACCACCTTCCTTCAGGCTCTAAAATTCAGAAGACAGAAAAAAGCCTGAACTATCTTTTCTATCTGGTCTGAAGCCTATGTTTTATGAGCCTGTAAAA